TTTTTTACGGAAATAGTAGCAAAAGAAAAAGGTTCAGGTGGAAAAAAATAACAGATTTTCAAAGTTTTCATTTTTTTCGTCTTTCGTATAATCTGCGTAGTTTTCTTGATTGAAGCTCTAAAATTAAAGGTTAGGTATGGTTGTGTAGAGCATTATCTTTTTAAAAAAACATTAACCTTTGGGTCCTAAAGAAACACAAGAAAAATAGAAAATATTGAGATGCCGCACTCATTACAATTTCTGGGAATGTGACGATGAGTGGGTCGTCATTGCACTCAATGTATTTTTCAGCAAACAAATGTAAGATCAGATTTAAATATACAGAATTGTAGAGAATTCTAAGCGCTATTAGAATATGGGGTCACTTTTGTAAAAGTATATTTTCGTAAGGAAAATATCTTAAAAATACTGTGTGCAACTATTTTTTTCCACGAGGATATATGAAATGCCAGGGAACAATCAAAGTTTTATAATTTTATCTATTAGAAAAACATCTATCTTCGAAGTAATCTGATTGTCAATGCCAATATTTTTGTTTTGTTAATATTTTTTATTCAAAACAACTTCATTCATATGACTTCTTTTTCTCCGAACGATGTTTCATAAATGGAAAAAAACAAATAACAAAATATAATTTGAAAAACAACACCCGTTAGATGATGCTTCTTCGTTATTGTTTGTTTGTTTTACTTTGATTTTTTCTGTTTAATTTTTTTCACATAAAAGTCTAATTCCTTTCCTTCCAATACATAACCATCACATCTACCACATTGTCCCGGTCTTGATGCAACACATGCTAACACTCTTCCTGCTTGAAATTGTTCTTCTAAACCTTGTTCAACTTTAGCTGTTTTTTGAATTACTTGTAATTTTTTTTGAGCTTTTTGTGAACGTTGTTTGGCTAATACGGCTTCTTCTTGTTCCGTTAATTTGACACCTTTTTTACGTCCAAGTGGTAAAGCATAATGACTTTCATACCATTGACGAAATGGTACCGCATCAATTTGAACAATTGTTGATTTGGTTAATGTTTTCGTTCGAATGTTTTCATTTGATGAATGATACATAACATCGATAATACGTGTTTTTTTTGTTATACCCTCACTACCCCATGAAAAATTACCAATATCCAAACGTAATGCACGATATTTTTTATTACCGCCACGTGTACGAACAGTATGAATGCGTTTGATACCTAATTTTGTATGAGCTGCTGGACGACCTAATTCAAATTTTCGTTTTTTATGTGGTTGTGGGCGTTTGCCACCCGTTTTTCGACGCTTATGCCAGTGATCACGGCTGATACCCATTTGTTTCTATGTTGTTCTAATATTTAGTCTACAAATGAGAAAAGAAAAAACATAGGTGAGTGTTTAGCATCGCTTCTGTTATCTAACTGTCACGGCTCCTAACTGCTCTTCTTGAGACTAAAGTGAGTGACGATCCTATAAAGAGAAAACTTTGCTTCTATCCCTAATACGATATTAGTATATCTATTCTTTAAAATAAGCTCAATAACACCATAAATGACTCGATAAAAGAAAGAATTGTGTACAGCACAACCGGATGCGTCCTGTGAAAAATCATGCAATGGTTTATTTTATGCAGACTTTACTTTTCCTTCAGTTTACCAGATTGAAAACATTTGTAGACAAATATTTTGACTGCAATACTAACACTAAATGCGATTTCTCTACTTTTTCGAATATATGGAAAAACTTTTTACACTTTCAGATTGACAAATTTTCGACTTTAGAAAAAATCTGAACGTTATATATATAAGTCAATTTCTGTGTTACGGGAACAAGGGGTTATTAAAAAATCTCTTTTTATCAAACTGTAGACGAAGTATAGTTTCCATCTATACATTCTAACTACACAGAAAGAAGAATTAAATTCACTTACTCTGTGCCAAACAGAGACATGCGTAACATTTTGATGAAAGATCGGTCAGGTCGTTTAAGAGACTGATCACAACAAGTTATCCTAAGAATGTATGAATATTTTCGACAAATATTGGATAAGAATACTAAGATATCGGACGTGGCATTCGATACTGTAAGATGCAATCTCTATATTTAGGGAATTTAAAGCATTCAGCTAGAAGATTTCTGAAAATCGCAAAAAAAGGAAGCCATATACTACGGTATGCATTGCATCGAACTTCAATAGCGTTATTATCCGTTCTGCCATAGTTGGAATGAACCATTAACTACAGGTTTACCGAGGGCAAAATAATAATAAACTTAATTAAACAGGGCTACGTTCTTGAGGTGAAAAACATTAGAGCTGAAGAAAAATTTCACATTACACCTTAACTTCATTAACCATAAACAAGTGTTTAAATTGATATTTTGTCACTTCTTAGAGTTCAGTCACACACAAAACTTGTAACTGAGCTTGAAACCGAAGTGTAATTATGATTTTGCAAGAGCTGAAAATACTTTTGTTATACGATGAAAATAACAAAAAAGAGTGCATCTTGCCTTCTACCATTTGTCGATGGCGAGTCATAAATTCCGAAAAACTAAAAATTCTATTTAGAACACTAACAGAAGCAGCACAGGAAAATAGTAAAAGTTGTAAGCTTATTCAACGACTTTTTTCGAATTGTAAACATAATAACTGACCTAATCAAATCTTGTATGACAAACAACGCTCTTAGAGATAAACAAATGTGAAATATGAATGAGAGAATCCTCTGTTCTAACTCATCTGTATATATCAGACAGTGCGTTAGGAAGATGAAAATTAAAAATTTCTTTCGAACTACTACTTTCGAAATTGTATGATGCTCAATGCCCTTATTTTACCATATCAGCCATAGAGCAGCTAACCTCGAATAAGATGTTACATAGATAATTTCAAAGCCAACACTGTGGCTAAAAGAATGCGAAATAGCAATATAATCGTTAAAAGTATAACAGAAGCGATTTGATCTCATGTCGCATGAAAAATGTATCATTACAGATGCATAAGACTAGTTTTTAATTTGTTAACTTCAAATCGAGGTCACACAGGTGATTGGTTTAAATCACGTTACTGTAGCAGATCATCTAGCGCCACTTCCAGCTGGCCTCACTTCAATATTCATTAAATTGAATAAAACTAGAGCCTCTAGAAGTTAATTTTATGCACGGCTTTCGAAATTTTTAAAAGAACATAAGCGTTTAACAAAAGAAAAAACTTTATTTGAGTCTACGTTAATCCGTGTGATTAATTTTATTCTCAAGAGTGAAATCATGAAAATCTGGAAAGAGAGATCGCAGTTAGACGGTTTAACTCTGGATTATTATAAGTAGAAATTTTTTTTTGTTCATTTGTGATTGGTTAATTTGCTGTTTTTTCTTGAAGTTAATGTAACACGATTTTTGAAACTATCAAGTATTATACAGTAGTGCCAAATTATTCTTATTATTCAAAAGAAAAAAAAAACGAATGGATTCTGTGTTTAATAAATGATGACCAGATGCTTTTCACGAAATCTCGCACTGTTGCACTTTGTTCTCTTGCAAATTTTATCAATGCTGCCGATCGTGCGATTATGCCGAGTAAAAAATCTTGACAAAAGCTCCGTTTGATCGTTTTTTATTGTATATTGATTTTTGTTTAGTCGCTATCATTCCTATGTCAAAAGAAATGCATTGGGACATGCGTTTACAAGGCTACATTTTGTCTGCCTTTCCAATCGGTTATCTTACGTCTCAGGTAATTCATAAAGTAGATTACTTTCCTATGATTTTATATAACTTTACTTTTTTTTTTTAGTTAATCGCTCATTTATTTGTCAAACGTTTCGGAACCAAATCTGTTTTGGCATTTGCCGTTTTTACTTGGTCACTTGTAACATTCGCTACACCATTTTTAGCTCCTGTTCCATTATTGCTTATTTGCTCTAGAATTGCACTTGGATTTGGTGAAGGCCTAGGCATGTGTTGAAAATGGTTTTATGCTCAGTTTGAAGTATAAAAATTTTATTCATTTAGCACTTCCAACCATTTTTCACATATTTTCCAATTTTGTTGCACTTGAAGAACGTTCAAGATCGTTTAGCTATCTTATTGCCCTAGGATCAGTTGGACAAACAGTTGCTGCCGTTGTATGTATCATGCTTTCGTTTATGAACTCTCATTATATAACTCCATAGATTTTACTCTGTTTTTTGAATTAGATTTGTCCGCATGTGCCATGGAGATGGGTGTTTTTTGCCTTTGGATTGATGGGATTTGCATGGACATTTCTGTGGTTGGTTGTTTATCATGAATTTAGAATAGCAAACGATGATGAAGTGTTTTTACATTCAACAGCAAGGGTAATTATATAGATATTTTCAAGATATAATGGTTGTCTTTCTTATAACAACGACAATGTTATCGAGCGTAAAGATGTAGTTTATTACTATTATCTAAGCTCAGAAAGATTATTCCTTTCATTTTGTATAGGTTGGTAACAAAAACCATCGATGGACAGAGTTTATTGGTCATTGGCCACTATGGGCGATTTATATTGCACATTTTTCGATGAATTGGTCTAGTTACATTGTCATGGTGTGGCTTCCCACTTATTTAGCAAAAACGTTTGATGCAGATCAAACGAGCTTATCTTTTACAGCATTTCCCTATGTAATGAATTCATTGTCAGGAGTTGGTACGTTTCAAATTGATATTTTATAAATTATACAGGTAAAAAATAACTGTAAATTTTTCGTATATTTTTTTAGCGGCTGGACATTTTGCTGATTTTCTCATTATGAATCGTTGGACAGTTTTATCTGTACGTCGTCTAATGACAGCAATTGGCTTACTTGGGCCTGGTTTATTCATGCTACTATTCATTTCTGTCGATAATTTATTATTTGCCGTGGTGTAAGTGGAAAAAATGCGCTTTTATAAGCATAGAAATGGCTTCAAGTTAATAAGTATAAGAAAGACAACGACAGATAGATGATAATGATTTCACCGGATGTTCACCTCACAACAGGATAAAATCGAGGTTACAAGTTTTACTAAAAAATTAGATTATGAGTTTCTATTCGATTCTGATAATCGCGCTGACTTTTGATCTCTTTATTACTTTCATATCTCATAAAGGTAGGAGAAAAATCAGTTGCAGTTGAGACTTGAGTGCTTTCAAAAGATTTTAAGTTGATAAGTGGCATTTTAAGAAACTTCAACTATATTCCACTTTTCTCTTTTAGATTTATTTCAATTTCAATGGGCTTAAGCGCATGTAATTCAGCAGGACATTTGAGTAATCATGCTGATATTTCACCGAATCATTCTGGAATCACATTTGCTATTAGCAACACATTAGCCACAATTCCGGGTATATTAGCGGGACCTGTGACAGCCGAATTAGTTGTTGCCAGTCACAATCGGGTAAGTTCATCATTTGTCTCGCTCAAAATAATTGAAGATGAGAATAACAAAAAATGCCATTTCAAGTGTCTAACTTGCGGTGCAAAAGTAATTACGGAAATCTCCAGCCATAGTTCTTCGCTCAGGAACATCGTAGAAAATCAACTTTTTTTTAAATTAAAAAGAGTAATGTCTGAACTACAAATCTGGTATCAGTCATATTTTTCCCGGACGAATCTGAGAAGGAGAAAAAGCCAAAAACCAAACATCTCTAAAAAAGTTCTTGCATCGATTTTGCAAATTGAAAAGCGTGTATTTTTCAATTATTTTGGGCTGCATTGACCAAATTTTAATAAAAAATACACCAAAATGTAGCGCATCAAAAATTCTCTGGATATCAGCTTTGTTAAAATCTTTTAGATCCATCCTTGACTGTTTAATTAGAAAGTTTTGAAAAATAAAATTATTGCGAAAAAGACTCTTTTCCAAGAACTATCAGTTTGATCAGCCACTATCTTCAGAAATCATGCATGTACTCAATTCTTTTTGCGTTATTTGTTCAAAATATGTCAGACCGTAGAACTTAACAAAAAAAAATAATTCAATGAATATTTTTACCGCTCCAAAACGGCCAGGTAGTGAGAACGACCAAATTATTCAGTTTCTCTCAGAAAAAAGCAATATTTTATTATTAAAATCAAGAGTAAATTTAACTTCCAATACACTATTGGAAAGAGCACTCTTTATGCTACAAAAATCATCATTAAAAATGTTTTTTCCATTCTCTTCTGATATTAAAAAAGTTAAATAGAAATAAAAAATGATGTTGCTCGTTGCCTAAGTTGCAAGAACTGTTTTAGAGATGTTTGGTTTTTGGCTTTTCCTCCTTCGTACGAGGGAACATTTCCAAGTGAGGCACTCCGATTTTGTTCAAACCTGGTAATTTATATGTAACCAAGGGCGCTGATTACAAATATGATAGCCGTTTGTGCCCATAGACCTTTCCTAGTGTTTCTCTGAAGAACCGGTTTTCTAGAAATCATCTGAAATCCAAGCAATATTTTCTCAACATGATGGGATTGTAGCCTGAAACTTTTGCATCAAAATGAGACACTTCCCAGCTTTCTACGACCTTTCTTTGCAAAGTTACAGAATTTACAACAGGAGCCCTAAATTAATCGTCCTTTTTCGTTCTATATCTCTGAGCTGACAATAAACATTTAGGGCTTCTGTTGTAAATTCTGTAACTTTGCAAAGAAAGGTCGTGGAGAACTGAGAAGCGTCTCATTTTGATACAAAAGTCTCAGGCTACAATCCCATCATGTTGAGAAAACATTGCTTGGGTTTCAGAGGATTTCTATAAAACCGGTTCTTCAGAGAAACGCTAGGAAAGGTCTATGGGCACAAACGGCTATCATATTCGTAATCAGCGCTCTTGGTTACATATAAATTGCCAGGTTTGAACAAAATCAGAGTGCCTCACTTGGGAATGTTCCCTCTTTAGATTCGTCCAAGAAAAATATGGCAGTGTTGTTCACTCTTTTTAATTTAAAAAAAGCTGACTGTCTACGATATACGATATTCCTGAGCGGAGAACTATGGCTGGTGATTTCCGTAATTACTTTTGTACCGCAGGTTAGACGAGAGACAAAGCGACACTTTGAGTGTGTACAGTCATCTTGAAGAAAGTTCTCCTCTCTAGAAAACGCATCATCATCATTTTTCTTTTCATTCAACTTTTGTACGTTAGATCCATTCCTAAGTTACACTATTTTTATTCGTTTTAGTGGTTTCCCGTATTTATCTTGGCATCCTGTATGAATTTTGTCGGTGCCATCATTTATCAAAGTCAAAGTGCAGCCAGCCAAATTCTGTGATTATCTTCTATTTTCAAAATTATATATTCAC